ATCTCTCTCCTCTATCTCTCCTTCTCTCATATAATCTGTGACTCTTTGTATTTATCTTCGCCCGTTGCTATTGGACACCCTTTTTGTCCCGCCCGCAAGAGAGGGCTAAGGCACACCCGGCCGTGTTATTGGCTGGGAATTTGAGCCTTACGGTGAATCAGGGTGTGATTAGCAGTGCAAGATTAAAGGCTATTTTGATCGATTTGCTTGAACTGTGTCCCATTTTTCATCTTTTTTTTCTCTCTCTTTCTCTCTCTTTCGTAGCTCTTTTATTTGACTTTCTCACTTGGACGAGCTGTGAAGGTCAAGGGGCGGGTTTGGGTGTGGTTTGTGTGTGTGTGTGTTTTGTACTTGTGTGTGTTGTATGCGCGTGTGTGTGTGTGTGAACGTGTATGCGGTGTGTGAGTGTGAAGAAGATTTGTAAACAGTAAATAGATTGATAAGGGAATGTGTATATCTCATTCTCTCTCTCTCTTTCTCTTTCTCTTTTTCTTTTCTCTCTTCTCTCTCTCTCTCTCTCTCTCTCTCTCTCTCCTCTCTCTCTCTCTCTCTCTCTCTCTCTCTCTCTCTCTCTCTCTCTCTCTCTCTCTCTCTCTCTCTCTCTCTCTCTATCTCCCTCTCCCTCTCTCTCTCTCTCTCTCTCTCTCTCTCTCTCTCCTCTCTCTCTCTCTCTCTCTCTCTCTCTCTCTCTCTCTCTCTCTCTCTCTCTCTTCTCTCTCTCTCATCCTGATTTACCTAGGCATACACATGCACTTGTAAAACATTCTCTTCATTTTTTTTACGAACTAAAATAAATAAATAGAAAACCAAAAAAAAAAGAAAAAAACCTAAGCCCCCCCCCCAAAAAAAAAAAGATAAATAAAAAATCAGATACAAAAAAAAATATGGAATAAATAAGTGTGGAAAGGTTGCCCAAGGGTTGACACTGCGAGCACATCTGTTGAATAGCGAATGGTTATGCTAATACTGGGCTCCCTAATTCCGCGCTTCCGGCTGCAGTTGTAATTGGATTTATGCGATAAAACTGTTTTAATGATGGTTGGATTGTATATTTTTTTATTGAGGGAGGGGGATGGAGGGGAGGGGAGGGAGGGGAAGTGGGTTACGGTGGGTTGTGGGTTTAAGGTGGGTGGGGTGTGTGGTTTTTAATGATGGTTGGATTGTATATTTTTTTTTTATTAAGGGGGGGGGGGAGGGAGGGGGGGAAATGGGTTACGTGTGGGTTGTGGTTTGTTGTTGTAGGTTTAAGGTGGGTGGGTGTGGGTTTGGGTGTGTGTGTTTTAATGATGGTTGGATTGTACATTTTTTATTATTGAGGGGGGAAGGGGGGAGGGAAGGGAGGGGAAAATGGGTTACGTGTGGGTTGTGGGTTTGTTTGTTGTGGGTTTAAGGTGGGTGGGTGTGGGTTTGGGTGTGTGTGTTTTAATGATGGTTGGATTGTAATTTTTTTTATTGAGGGGGGGAGGGGAGGGGAAGGGAAGGGGAAAATGGGTTACGTGTGGGTTGTGGGTTTGGGTGGGTGGGTGTGGGTTTGGGTGGGTGTGTTTTAATGATGGTTGGATTGTATATATTTTTTTTATTGAGGGGGGGGGAGGGGAAAATGGGTTACGTGTGGGTTGTAGGTTTGTTTGTTGTAGGTTTAAGGTGGGTGGGTGTGGGTTTTGGGTGTGTGTGTTTTAATGATGTTGGATTGTATATTTTTATTATTGAGGGGGGAGGGGGAGGGGGAAGGGGAAAGTGGGTTACGTGTGGGTTGTGGGTTTGTTTTGTTGTGGGTTTAAGGTGGGTGGGTGGGTTTGGGTGTGTGTGTTTTAATGATGGTTGGATTGTATAATTTTTTATTGATGGGGGGAGGGAGGGGAGGGAAGGGGAAAATGGGTTACGTGTGGGTGTTGTGATTTGTTTGTTGTGGGTTTAAGGTGGGTGGGGTGTGGGTTTGGGGTGTGTGTGTTTTAATGATGGTTGGATTGTATATTTTTTTATTGAGGGGGAAGGGGAGGGGAGGGGAAATGGGTTACGTGTGGGTTGTGGGGTGGGTGTGTGTGTGTTTAATGATGGTTGGATTGTATTTTTTTTTTTATTAAGGGGGGGAGGGGGGAAGGGGACGGGAAAATGGGTTACGAGGGTTAAGGTGGGTTGTGGGTTTTGTGTTGTGGTGTTTTAATGATTTGGTTGGTATATTTTTTTTTTGGGGGGGAGGGAGGGGAAGGGGAAAATGGGTTACGTGTGGGTTGTGGGTTGTGGGTGGGTTTGTTTGTTGTGGGTTTAAGTGTGTGTGTGGGTGGTGGGTGGGTGTGTGTGTGTGTTTTGTGTGGGTGTGGGTTTGGGTTTGGGTTGTGTGTGGTGTGAGTGCGTGCGTGTGTTTGTGTGTGTGTGTGTTGTGTGTGTGGTGTGTGTGTGTGTGTGTGTGTGTGTGTGTGTGTGGTGTGTGTGTGTGTGTGTGTGTGTGTGTGAAAGAAAGAGAGAGAGTGAGAGAAAGAGAAAGAGAGCTAACAGAAAGAAAGACAGATAATCAGTAAAAAAGAGAAATGGGGAAAGGGGACGAAAAGAGAGAGAAAGAGATAGAATTTAAAAAAAAAAGCAAAGAGGCAAATATAGTGGACTTCGAAGGACATAAATCACAGAATTCGTAGTAAAAAGATCTTAGGAATTGCCTCAGTACCCCCCCCCCCACCCTCTTTCTTCCCGAAGGTTCTGTCCCCTCAACCTCCCATCTCCCTCCCCTCCCTCCCTTCTCCCTTCTTCCTTTATCCTCTCCATCTCCTCCTTCTTCCCTTGCTCCGTCTCTCCCTTTCCTTTCTTCTTCTCGTCTCCTCTCTCCCCTCCTGCCTTCTCCTGTCTTCTCTCCTCTCTCCTATCTATCTTCTCCTCTCCTCCTCTCCTCTCCTCTCTCCTCCCCTGTCTTCTCTCCTTTCTTCCCTTCTCTCTCTTCCTTTCCTTCTCCCTGTAATCCTCCCTTCCATTCGTTCCCACCCTCCCTCTCTCTTCATCCTCTCACCCTCCCTCCCTCCCTCCCTCCCTCCCACAACGCCCTGGGTCTTGAGAATAAAATGCTGTAAAGGGGGAGGAGGGAGAAGGTAGAGAGTGGGAGGAAGGAGGAAGGAGGGGGAGAGAAGGAGAGGGAGAGGGAGAGTATTGATGGGAGGGGGGGCTGGCAGAGTGTCCTACCCACCTGTGAGCGTGGCGCTGGGGTGGGTGGGAGAGGGAGAGAAGGGGGAGGAGAGGGGAAAGGGAGGAGGGATATGGGAGAGTGGGAGAAGGAGAAGGGGAAAGGGGGAGGAGGAGATAGGGAAAGGGGGGAGAGAAAGAAGGGTGTGGAGTTGGATATTTTTTTCGGTTGAGAGAAAGAAGAAATGGAAGGAGGGGAGGGAAGGAGGGGGAGAGGGGGGAGGGGGGGGAGGAAGGGGAGAGAGGGGAGGAGGGGATAGTGTATCGGTTTGGGTTTTGAGAGTGAAGGGGGTCATAGGGAGGGAAAAAAGGGGTGGAGGATAAAGAAAATGAATGAAGAGCAGGAAAAAAAAAACCTTAAATATAAATACAATAAAAGAAAAAAAAATATATAATAAGTATTTTATAGCTGTATTTAAAGGTTGTAGATTAGGCTCCTCATCACATGCCTAATTGTGAAGCTTATTAAGGAAAATGAAATGGAAATTATAGCGATAATGTTAAAGTGATGGCGGGGATTGTCCCTGTAATAAAAGCCCAGCGCATCAGATACGAGTTTTTTTTTCTTTTCTTTTTTTTTAGAGAGAGAAAGAGAAAAGAGAGGGAGGGAGGGGGAAGGAGAGAGGGAGGGAGAAGGGAGAGAGATAGGAGGAGAGGGGAAAGAGAGAGAAAGGGAGAGGGAGAGGAAGGGAGAGAGGGGAGAAGGAGAGGAAGGAGAGAGGGGAGAGGGGAGAGGGAGAGGAAGAGGAAGAGAGAGAGGAGAGAGGATAGGAAGAGAGAGAGGGGAGAGGGGAGAGGTAAGAGGGAGAGGAGAGAGAGAGGAGAGAGAGAGAGAGCAGAGAGAGAGAGAGAGAGAGAGAGAAGAGAGAGAGAGAGAGAGAGAGAGAGAGAGAGAGAGAGAGAGAGAGAGGAGAGAGAGAGAGAGAGAGAGAGAGAGAGAGGAGAGGAGAGATAGAGAGAGATAGGCATTGGATGGATTTTTCCCTTTTTATTTGACCTCTCTCTTTCTCTATCTTTTCTTCGTCTCTTTCGCGCTCACTTTCTCCTTTCTTCCTTCTTTCCACCTCTCTCACTCCCTCCTTCCTTCCTTTACCTTTTTTCTCCCCTTTTCTCTTCCACTCCCTCCTTTCACCATTTTCTCTTCCTTGTTCCCTTTGTCTCTTTATTTTTTCTTTCTTTCTTATCTCAACGTTTTCCTTCTTTCGTATTGTCTCCAGATATCTTTTCTCTCCTTTTTATCTGTCTTCCTTCCTCCTTATCCTTCCCTCTTTTGTCTCCTTCCTTCTCTTATCTTTATTTTCCTTTTATGTCTCTTATCGTTCGCTTTGGTACAGGGAAGGAGGGAGGCAGGAGGAGGCGAAGATAAACAGAGGGAGGAGAGGAGAGGAGAGGGAGTGAGGGAGCGATGGAGGGAGGGGAAGGAGAAACAGTGGAAAAGGTAAGAGATTAAGAGGAAGGAAAATAGGAGAAAAAATAGGAGAGACGAGAGGGAGAGAGACAGACAGGACAGACGGAGAGACAGACAGACGGAGAGAGAGAGAAGACGGAGAGGCGATAAAAGAGAGAGAGAGATGAGAGAAGAGAGAGAGAGAGAGAGAAGATGAGGAGAGAGGAGAGAGAGAGTGAAGAGGAGAGAGAGGACGATAAAGAGAGAGACGGAGATACAGGAGAGAGAGAGAGAGAGAGGGGATAAAGAGAGAGAGGGGAGNGTCTGGTATCAGAGAGTAATTGAAATTACAATTTTTTTATAAAATCTCAGAACTTTTATCTGTCTGGGATATGTTTGTGTTCTATTTTTATATGATTTAAGATAAACACTTTGTTTTTTGCATATATTTATTTGTAAAAAATACATAAACTCTATATAAAACACACGCAAATATTGTACAAACAACACGCTAACTTCAAAATTAAATAACATAAATTAACATGAAGTTAAGGATCATTCTAAGCCGCTCACATCTCGACCAGGAGACTGAGCTCAGGGAATCTGCGAACTATAGGGAATCGGAAACCTTTACTGGAAGGGGAGCTTGAACGCCTTATAGGAGGGGAGCTTGAATCCCTGCAGGAAGGGGAGTCTGAACTTGTCGAAGAAGCTGAGGGAGAATCCAGAGGGTTTTCGCACCGGTGGCTGGCGGATGACGGGGTAGCTGGGGCGACTAGGGGGGGCGGGGAAGTGCAGGCCCAGCGGCGCCACGGGGAAGGAGAAGGGCACGGGGATCGGGCGCTGGGGAGCTGGGGCGTGGGCGTACGCGTGACTGGGAGCGTGGTGGACTTGAGCGTGGCCGTGGTCATGTCCGTGGCTATGTTCGTGCCCGTGGCCGTGATCGTGGGCAGTGGCATGGTCCTGTCCGTGGTCATGGGCATGCTCGACGTGGGTGTCTTCCGAGACGTCGAAGACTGCGAAGACGGGGCTGGAGAGAGGGATCGTGCTGATGTCCGGGGTCTCGTAGGACAGGACCGGGGCCTCGCTTGGGACTTCGTACAGGGAGGCGGGTTCCTCGAGCTTGATCACTGGGGCTTCGTAGACCAGGGTGGGGGTCTCTTCTGGGACTCCGTAGACCTGGGTGGGGGTCTCTTCTGGGACTCCGTAAACCTGGGTGGGGGTCTCTTCTGGGGCTTCGTAGACTAGGATCGGGGTCTCTTCAGGAGCTTCATAGAGCTGGACGACTGGCTCTTCTTTTGTGTCTGGAACGATGTATAACTGAGCTGGTTCTTCTGGAGCGATGTACGACAGAGTTGGCTCTTCGATCTTGATCTCTGGGGCAATGTAGGTCTGTACGGGCTCTTCTGGGGCAATGTAAGACTGTGTTGGTTCTTCTATCTTGATTTCTGGAACAGAGTATGACAGTGTTGGCTGTTCCACCTTGATTTCTGGGGCTGCGTAGGACTGAGTTGGCTGTTCCACCTTGATTTCTGGGGCCGCATAGGACTGAGTTGGTTGTTGCACCTTGACTTCTGGGGCCGCGTAGGACTGAGTTGGTTGTTGTACCTTGATTTCTGGGGCCGCGTAGGACTGAGTTGGTTGTTGCACCTTGATTTCTGGGGCTGCATAGGACTGAGTCGGCGTCTTCTGTTCGGCGGATAACCCAGGGCCGGGGAGCTCCTCCACCTCCGCCTGGTATCCTCCGTCCTTGGTGACCACGTACCTCACCACCTGCAGGACGCCGTCGGGTCTGAGGTACTGGTAGGAGCCCCTCGTCACGGAATCCATCAGGGACTCCTCGACGACTTTGTGGTCGTGCGTGTCATCGTTGGCCACGGAGTAGGAGGTCGAGTAAGAAGGGTTTTCCTCCTCTTGGGTGTGGACGTAGAGACTCGTGGGCGCCGAGGAGGACTGGTGGCGGAGGCGGGCGGCGGAGGCCACGGCGGCGAGCGCGACGATGAGGAGGGAGACCTGCAGGAGGAGAGGAACCGGCGGTTAGGAGGGCGGGGAGAGGAGGAGGAAGGGAAGGCAGGAAGGAAGGGCAATTAGGAGGCAATGCAGAGAGAGAGAGAGGGAAGGGGGACTTTGAGGAAAGGCGTAATAACTTCGTATAGCATACATTATACGAAGTTATACGAAGGAAGGGAAGGCAGGAAGGAGGGGGGGGTAGGAGGCAAGGCAGAGAGGGAAGGGGGACTTTGAGGAAAGGCGTAATAACTTCGTATAGCATACATTATACGAAGTTATACGACGTGCGTGTCATCGTTGGCCACGGAGTAGGAGGTCGAGTAAGAAGGGTTTTCCTCCTCTTGGGTGTGGACGTAGAGACTCGTGGGCGCCGAGGAGGACTGGTGGCGGAGGCGGGCGGCGGAGGCCACGGCGGCGATCGCGACTTTGAGGAGGTAGACCTGGTGGAGGAGAGGAACCGGCGGTTAGGAGGGTGGGGAGAGAAGGAGAGAGGAAAGGGGGGAAGGGAAGGCAGGAAGGAAGGGCAATTAGGAGGCAATGCAGAGAGAGAGAGAGGGAAGGGGGACTTTGAGGAAAGGGAGGGGGGAGAGGAGACGGCGGTTAGGAGGGTGGGGAGAGAAGGAGAGAGGAAAGGGGGGAAGGGAAGGCAGGAAGGAAGGGGGGTTAGGAGGCAAGGCAGAGAGGGAAGGGGGACTTTGAGGAAAGGGAGGGGGGAGAGGAGACAGCGGTTAAGAGGGCGAGGCGAGAGGGAGGAAGGGAATGGGAGAATGAAATGGAGGGAGGAAGGGAAGGAAGGGGGGAACTGAGGGAAGAAGGGAAGGAAGGAAAGAATGGCTGTTAGGAGGGAATAGGTAGAGGGAGAGAAGAAAGGGATGGGGAAAGGAAGAACGAAAAGGCAGTTAGTAAGGAAGAGAGGGAAAGGAGCAATAGAAAGATAGATAGTTTGACAGATATAGATAGGTAAGGGAAGGAAGTGGAAAGATACTAATAGATAATTGGTTAAGTAGATGCATACTCACTTGTGGTATATTTATACCATATACATACATGCACAGATACATACACACATCCACAGACACATATATCGAGAGATGATTGGGGAAAGGGAAGGTAGGATGGAGGTAGAAGACAAACATACATTCATACATATATACATGTATAAATAATGCATAAACACATACATACATGCGTACATACATGTCTACATAATGCATAAATACATACATACATATATACATCTATACATACATGCATGTATACATACATGCATGTATACATACACACATACATACATATATATATATATATACGTATACATGCATGCGCAGACAGACAAATCGCCAGCCAGACAGACAGGCAGTCAGAGGGGAAGAAGTCAGGAAAGATTTTAAAAGTAGTGAAATAGATGAAACGTCGCATTTTCCAATTTCACAAATATGGTGCCGGTTAGTTTACGAAATCCCTGGAGTTATATACGAATATTCTTGCCTATATTGTCATGCAGAACCGAAACACTTTTCACTTTCGGCGGAATATATTCACAAGACCGAAAATTCACTGGGATCACAAAGCCGAGAATTCACTGAGTATATTTCCAAAACTCGAGATCTTCCGAAGTCTTACCTTCATGGTCGATGTTCAGGTGTTTCTACGTCCATCACTCGTCCTGCGGCCTTTATATACCTGCTCAACAGGAGAGGTTGCCACATCGCATTTACAAAACTGCCTCAAGGGGGTCGTTTACATATTTTCGACAGTAACGTAATCTAACGCATTATCATTCACACATCATAAACCAGATAACATCTTAGCTCGTGTAAACGAGACATGATCCCGATAAGAGTGAAATTAAAATACTTTATAAAATGACTTTCTGACGACACTGCCTACTGTTTGTCGGTATCCCCCCCCTCCCCCCTCTCTCTTTCTCTCACTCTCTCTCTCTTTCTCTGTAGGCTATCGGAATTACATACCGCGGTAGACTATATATTACAGTGTCCCTTACTTCATACATTTAGAAATACTGAGGTAATAAGTGTCCTTGAGCGAACTAAATGTATGGTTAAGAATAGGGCGAAGATATGAAACGTCGAAAATATTTCAGGAACCTTGGCTTTAGAATGGGACTATAATTGGTAAACATGTATGCAAATTAAGCTTTGATTTATGCATGAAATCTATGTGGTACCGGACGCAGCTCTTATCTCAATGAACTTGTCAAGTAATATCTTTCTTTCTTTGGACTTATCTGCTTGTTTGTCTCTCACTCGTTTTATCTTCCAGTGTAACTATTCGAATACTTAACAATTTGTCTGTTCACCTGTCAGTCAAACTATCTGTCTATCTGTCTACCTATCTCTCTCTGTCTGTCTGTTTATTTCCATGTACGAATTCTCTCTCTAACACAAACACACACACGCATACAAAAGCACACACACACAGATACACACAGACAAACTTACATACACACATATAAATATATATATATATATATANTGTGTGTGTGTGAGTGTGTGTGTGTGTGTGTGCGTGGGTGCGTGCGTGCGTGCGTGCGCGCGCGTTTTAGGCATATGCAGCCATTTAAAGCTGAAAGAATCTACGAGAAATCCGCAACAAGCAAGCCAACAGGTCCGGCCTCCGAGCGAGCAGCGCGCGACCCACCGCCGGGCTTCCTCCACGAACGCGGCCCCGGAAAACCTCGCTCGCCGGCAGAGGGAGCAGCGGCCTCGAGTGCGCGCGCGTCTGGACCGCTCCTAATAAATTTATATGTAAATAATGAACCGATGAAGTGATATCCATACCTGCGCTTACAATGCAGTTGTGAAGTGTAGCTTATCGGGAACTAGACGCACTCTGACATGATATATTGTTTCTAAATTCCTTTTACAGGGTCTCTAAATTAATATAAATCGCCTACCTTTCATAAACATTTAGTTTATTTTTGTGATAGTGATCTAGATTATTCCATAAAGCATGGGTATATAATTTACCCAAACAATTTATCAACAAGTAAATGCATTTCTCCCTTTATATCACTGCCATTTAATAATGATTATACTTAGGTTAGGTTATTTACATGAAAGACTTGCCTGGTTTACAATTTCTAATTCATATTAGTTGTCATCATTTTTACTATCAAGATGACATGATGTGTCTCCACGACTACTAGCACGATGACGACGACGAGGATGATGGCGAAAATGCTGACGATGGAACGAATGGTGACGCTGGCGATGCCAATATTGCCACAAGTGAGTGTGGGAATGAGCCATTGGCCGCCGACCCATTCCCAATCCTCCGGCCTCCGGGCTTCCCCAGTGGGCCCCCTTGGACACCAGCAGAGAGCACTTCTGCTGGAGATGGGCGGACGTATACACGCCCACGGCTTTGATAAAGCGCATACCGTTTTCCTTTCCTCTTTTGTTATTCTTGTTCTTTCTTCTTCATGTACTTATCATCAAAGCTCCTCTTTGCTACACTTTCTCTTTCTGTCCTTCCTTTTCTTCACCGTATTCTCCTCCTTTTTCTTCTTTGGTTTCTCCCCATCTTTTGTTTTTCATATTCCCCTTCTTCGATTCCTCTTCCTCCAGGTTTTTATTTATTCCAATTTCTTCTCTCCTTCCCCTCCTTACTCTGCTCGCTCTGGCAATAAAAATGAGTAAAAGTAAATGAATGTGAGACAGCATAAAAATCTCAGTTTTGATAACAGGAGCGAAAACACAGAGACGAAAAGTTATGTGGAAAAGGAAACAAAAGTAAAAAGACGCAACCGCAACAAACGAAAAGGAACACACCAACATAAACCATAAATCAAGAGCCTAGTCGAATGCAGTTCTCATACACACACACACTCACTCACACACACACACACACACACACACACACGCACAGACTACGTGTCGGTCGCTGCATGCAAGCATCATCCTCCGCTCGGCTTGGGGTGAAAGCACAATGTTGCAAGCATCAAGACTAGCCCCGTGTAACTTCTAGATGGGGGGAGGGGAAGGGCATAGGTTCAGATGGGGGGAGGGGGGAATAAGGGAAGGGGGGAGATCGTATAACTTCGTATAATGTATGCTATACGAAGTTATTACGCTCTTGATTTATGGTTTATGTTGGTGTGTTCCTTTTCGTTTGTTGCGGTTGCGTCTTTTTACTTTTGTCGTATAACTTCGTATAATGTATGCTATACGAAGTTATTACGCACACACACACACACACACACGCACAGACTACGTGTCGGTCGCTGCATGCAAGCATCATCCTCCGCTCGGCTTGGGGTGAAAGCACAATGTTGCAAGCATCAAGACTAGCCCCGTGTAACTTCTAGATGGGGGGAGGGGAAGGGTATAGGTTCAGATGGGGGNAATAAAGAAGAGAAAATTCGGGGAAGGGAGACAACGCAGGGTACACTTCTACGAGTTGCCTCCGCTCTGTGCATAAGGGCGAGGTTGCTATGGTAAACAAATGCGAGCGAAGTACTTAAGTGCCAGCTCCTACAGCAGCCAGGAGAGGGTTGGTCCGACGTTCCGGCACTGTACAGGACCTTGGCACTCCCTCTGACGTGGCCGTGACGTCATACGATGGTGACATCATAGTCGTGGGGCGGGGAAACTTCAGGGGGTGGCAAAGGGGAGGGAGGGGGTGCTGGGGGAGTGGGGGGAGGAGGGGGAGGGGGGAGAGAGAGATGTCAGGCCGGTAAACTGCGAGAAAGAACAGAACCTCGGATAATTCCCTTGCATGAGATGCGGGAGGAATTCCTGGAATACACACAGATAAGGAACCGTCGAGGCACTGCATGATCTTTCCGAACTGGAATTCTTTAGGAGATGCTTGTGCATGAAGCGAAAACTCGAGCAGAAAGCATCTCGGACTCCCCAGCGGAGCCTTGGGAACGAATGAACGATAATAACAATAACTCGAAAAATTAAAATGGCTGTTCTGACGTCACTCTGTCGTCATACAGATGTTGCACTGACCGCATAACACCGACACGGGCAACTTGCACTTGCAGGAGGTCGAAAAAATTCTTCCATCGTTAGTAATTCATTTTCTTTTTTATCACAGTCCCCCTATCCACTCCGACAGGGCCTGTCGTGCCAGGAGAGGGCCATGTTCACCGGACGGAAGGCCAGGAAAGTGCCGGTCATATAACAGGGGCTCCAAGTGTTTCTGGTGGGGTCTTGTGGCGGTGAAGACCCCCAGCGAACCCCCTGCCAACCCCCTGCCAACCCCCTGCCAACCCCCGACCGACCCCCACTAAGACACTGGGAGCAGATTCCGCTGATACATCACACTTGCACACGCTCGGCCGACGGGGTGGGCGGCATTCGCACGCCCACGTGGTCTGTCAGGATGTTTACACTACGCCCTTTCCAGGATTTGCGCGTCTTTCTTTGTTTTTTTGTTTGGGTCTTTTTCTTGGGGAGGAAAGGGGTTATTTTCGTATTTTTGTTTTCCTTTCCCTTCCTCTTCTCTCCCTCTCTCGCCTACTTCCTCCTCCGCGGAATCCCGACACACCACCGATTCTTTCATTTCAAGGAACGCAATAGATAATAACCTTCGCTGTGTAGCTCCACACACGCCCAACACCGCGACAACAGGCAGTCACGCCCGCACGCACGAGGGCACTGGACTGCGGCCCCGTGTTGTGCGGCTGGCGTGGGCGTTATCGGGTCCTTCCTCAGATGGGCGGCGGTAGGAAACGAAGTGGGCGGCGGCGGCGGGCGGTGGACGTGGTGGCGGTGGGAGAAGGGGAGCGAGCGGCGTCCCCGTCTCACCATTACCAGCGCTCACGGCACACTAAGGTTGGGCCCAGCGAAACGGCCAGGACCCTCTCTGGCTCTCGCTCTCTCTCGCTCTCTCTCTCGCTCTCTCTCGCTCTCTCTCTCGCTCTCTGCCTCTATATAGAAACTTTCGATCTCTTTCTCTCTCTGACTCTCTCTTTCTTTTTCGATCATTCTCTCTCTTTCTCTCTCATTCGCTCTCTCTCCCTCATTCGATCTCTCTCTCTCTCTCTCTCTCTCTCTCACACTCTCTCTCTCTCTCATACTCTCTCTCTCTCTTCCCTCTCTCGTATAACTTCGTATAATGTATGCTATACGAAGTTATTGCGCTCTCTCTCTCTCATTCTCTCTCTCTCTCTGTATCTCTCTCTCTCTTTTTCCTCTCTCTCTCTTTTCTCTCTCTCTCTGTCTCTCTCTCTCTTTTCTCTCTCTCTCTTTCCCCCCCCCCTCTCCTTCTTTTCCCCCCCCCCCCCTCCCCCTCCT